ATGCCCAGGATGCCTATGCCTCGACCACCGAACTACACAACTCCTTTCGCCGAATCTCCTCTCACATCCACCGCCGGAAAACCACCTGTCGGTGCTTCTGGATCAATCGGAATAACCGCCGGGGTGAACTCAACTGCGTACAATCCCAACCCAGGTGATACATATGGTAGAAGTAAGCCCCCGTGATGGTCTTCGATCAATAGCCATTTACGTCCACTCATCATGCATTATGTCAAAGGTTGTTGTCTTCCCAAGCTCTAACTCTCCTTTTGTTTACGTGTCCTCTAGGTTTTGAGAATTGGTTTGCAATCACTGATATTGATGCAATTCACGTTTCTCTGTTTTCTGTCATGGGTCATCGAACATATTTTCTTTTTTTTAGATTTTTATGTTTCAATCTTTTAAATTTCTGCGGACTAATACAATTATTCCTCATAGCCCCTTATTAACACGTGGACAACGAAAAACTTCACATCCCTAGAACAGCTGAGGGGGCAATACAGAAACCTTTTTTATGGACATTCGGCCTGGTCAAAAGAAATACTCTCACACAATGTGCGTCAATAACCAGTGTGGTACACACGTCCTCTACTGGGAAAGTATAAACAAACCTCATGGTGAACTATGGATGAGAATTCGGTGCATACTGCTACAACAACAACTACTACTACTACTACTACGAGCAAGGCAAAAGGATGTTACGCTTGTTTTCAATAACTTAGTTTGTCTCAGATGCAACTGCTCTAACAAAGTCAGTGGTGATGAATGAAGAGATACTGTCTTAGTCTTCTTGGATTGGGCTTTACCGCCCTTCCCCCCCCCCTCAAATGCGCTTGTATTCATTGTCGACAGTTCGCTTCTTAATTGCCTGGATAATATGACCCAATACGGATACAGGGCTCACAGCTGGTGCGCACTTTGGAAGATGCTATGTGTGTGTAGTTGATCCTCAATACTACTTCCTCAGAAAGCGTCCGTTCACTCCACAGCAGCTTCCAGAACTTGGTTTCACACGCAACCGGTTTATTCAGTATGTTAGTAATCAGTCTGGAGCGAGTATTCTGTGCTATCAATCGTTGATCTCTGGCGAAAGCAAAGTGTAACTTAGAAATACTTCAACAGTTTGCAGCCAGAACATCGAAGATCTTTCGCACAGAGACAGATGGGTTGACACTCTTCTATCTGTGCCAACTAACCTGATCTTAAAAGCATAAGCGCTCCATCATCTAGGAAAATACGTCACCAATGACTGTTACAGAAACGGGTATGCCAAAGACCCATTACAGATAAAGTCTACTAAATAGACTGTACCGTACGGTTCTTGAACTGGCTAAGCAGGCAAATACCTTGAATTCAATAAAATAGTTCTCGGGAACTCGCAGCGCCATTGATCTGCTTAGTGCACTCTCTTTTCACTCCTACTAGCACTGCGAAGGGGTCGACACGGAAACTCGTCTTCATAGATACGGCTTAGCGAACAAACACAATGTGCAAACCCAGTGGGCTTCAATAACCAGTGCATTGCACATCTTCTACACTGGAAAATTTCCCGAGTCCAAACTGATCAAGAAGATCAAGAGAACCACACCCACCCCGCTTTGTTCTTGCAATGCTTGGAAATTGAGGTGTATTGGTCACTCTGGACGTTTGATCCCGTCTGAAGGGCTTATAATTTGTGTAACTCAACACTGGCCTCCAATGAATTGCGGATGCGCCGTCGCGACATCCGGTTGTCTGTGAAGGGTCGATTGCATGACGCGACAGTTCGGCCAGTTCGGCTATACGGCGAAGAAACTTGACCATTAGGAAAACAGGATAAAAATAGACTGTCGGTGTTTGAACACCGCTGTCTACGCAGCATTGTACGAATCTGGTGGAGCAGCCGGACAAGCAATGCTGAGGTTGGGCGCAGAGTTTTGGATAACCGCAGTTGCCCACTGGAGCAAGTGGTCGACCTTCATATATTACGTTGGTTAGGGCATGTGTTACGCATGTCACAAAATAGGTTGTCACGGCGAGCGATGTTTGCCGAGGCAATCAGTGGGTGGAAGAAAGTCAAGGATAGTCAAGGCAAAACCTGGCATGAAGGTATAAAAACCCTAACCAGCAGTCTGGGTCACATAGGTCTCGTTAGGCTCCCTGCCTGGGGACCTCGAGATGATCGTACCAGATGGTTAGAGATACTGAGTGATATGGCTGGGTGTCGTAAACAGTGGCATTAGTACATCTTTTCAATTTCTCTGCAACATTAGTCCATTGAACTTTTCAATTTTCTCTTTGATCCTACTTTCAACCTTCCTGTTTTTCTTCTATTGTTCACTCAAATGGGCAGCGAAAAGACAGCAACCAAAACCGCCGCACGAAGGTGCATGGTTAATGGTTGTACAAACTGAAACTGAAAACTGAATTGCAGATTTCGCTTGCAGCTCTGCTACCCTGCGGGTCAGGATTTGTCTAGTCGAGGACTCCGGTAGTTAATCCCTCAAGAATGTTCATCTGCTTCGGCTTGGGAAAATTGGAAGTCTTCTGCCAATGACCAAATCGTGGACTGACTTCCTTGTTTTAACGATTGTTGTATCGTAATCTGTTTGGCACAATCTGGACTCAGGCAAGTATGAAATATATTTGTAATACGAACGTACTCTGGGCTCTCACAGCGCAGCGGAGTGAACGGATATGTGCGACAGTGTCCCTCGGCTCGTAGTCTCACAGCCGGAGACGATATGAGGCTTTGCGGGCGACGAACGACGGCGGGGAACGCAAGTAGGGATGCGGGACAAGGGTTGACGAGGAAGGTTAATCTGCAAAGCAAAGCAAACAAAACGCCATGAACCGAAAAAGTCCAGTGAGATACAAGCACTCACAATAAAATATTACTGGCGCCGTTGCCAAGCGGTAAAATTAGTATTCACAGTGGATGCTGTTAACAGATTAAAACAAGAACGTGACCGTGTTTCGTATGGTCTATGCTCAAATATTACGCACTTGCAACAGTGATGTTATATCTATCGTTATTGTTTTCCTGGATGTCAATTGCATAAGTGACACTACAGTAACCGTCCAAGTTGTCATCCTCGTGGTGAACCGTGTGTGCTCGATTCATCTGTACTCAGTGGACTGAACCAAGTGACTTGTTGGTTGGGGCCCTATGTGGTTCGCTGCTCTAAGTCTTGGAGCTTAGGTTGCTGGTTTCTATCACAGGGACGTGTAATAAAAGAAGCAGTTGCCAAACGGAAACTCGTCAGTCACTTACACATGCGTATTCTCTGCGTGTAAGAGTAGCACGATCCAATACTGATGACGGGCTTCGATCCGTATCATCGTTCTAACGATTGAAAATACCCGGAGTTCCCACCATTGAACGCCTTTGATGAAATTTGTATGCATTGCGAGTTTGGCAGGGATCAGTGCAGTTTTCGCTTCACTGTATTTCGCTTTACGATGATGACGATGGATTCCAAAAAGAAACTGTCCAAAAATCGATACTTTAGGATAGCTAAGCTATCCTGTGAAGTTGAAATAAGCTTCGGGTTGACCCCTTCACGGTTCTCTTGTTAACAATACGGGAATGGGTTTACTTTTAACCCGAGGACCAGACCATCGGTTTTCGTGCCGATGGTTTCTTCGATCGTTTCTCAAACAACTGGAACAAGATAGATTACTGGTTTTCATGCTCTATGGGCTGTAAAAGAGTCTCACAGAATACTTTGTGAACAGCACAGCTTGATGAATGAGCTCGTTTTCAGCTATTCGTCACCATGCCAAAAAGTTAGAAGCAGCTGCGCGAAAACACAGCCTTTAAGTTTACCTTTTCTCTCCTGCATATAACGAAATTCGTTGTGTGAACATACCTTCCAGGAAGTTCAACAATACCAATGGAAAATTACACACTCAATTCTTGGTTCCGAGCGTTTTCCGATCATGTGTGTGTGCAATTGATCTAAAGTGTTTGCACATTTGTTCTAGAGAGATGAAGTGCATCGAGGAAGTTTAAGCGCTTTCACAACCTGCTGCGAAGCACACAATTGAGGGGGTTGTTTATGCGAATACACGTGGTCCCGGCTGTAGTCAAAATGCGCTATTCAATCGTTCTCGATTGCTTCATTCGAACTTCAAAACACGTTTATCACTTCCATCGACCAGTTGGACTTAACGAGGTGCGATCAACGGGCTCGTGATGTTTAGGAACGAGAGTAGACAAGCGCCTGGTTGTTCGCTAAAGCAGCTAATCCCCAAGGAAAAATCGATTAAGAATGCGAAATCCAGCGCTCTGTTGTCCAATCGAAAACACCATCAGTTTGGATGAAAATGTGATTTTCTTATGCACCTGAAGGCATTCATGTAGTAGGTCCTACTTCTGTTTCCCTTACACATTGAACGAAAATTTGCCGAGGCTTTAGCCATTCATTCCCTCAAACCCGATCTATGCAAACAACGTGAATGGTTAGTCACATTAAATAAATAAATAAATGTCTCTTTACTTCTTTTCTGAATATACAAATGTACAGTGAATATTCAAGAAGGAGGGCCGCGGCCATACAAATGCTGACTGGGTAGGTATCGTACTAAACGATAAAGATGAAGCCTCTATGGTTGATTGGATACCCGTCAATAGTCGTCTGTGCGCAATGAGGCTACAGGTTTCAGTTAGTGTTCGGAAGGGTAGCAACACCAAAAGGTGTTTATCCATAATTTCCGCGTGTGCACCAACCAACTGCAATCCCGCTTCACAAAAGGACGAATTTTACAACAAACTCGCCGAACTGATTCGGTGGAGCCACAACTCTGATATTATACTGCTGGCCGGTGATTTTAACGCACAGTTTGGAAAACTGAGCGTATCCGAAGCCTGTTTAGGGGAGCACTTCTCTTTCTCCGCCCAGCGAACAAACAACGGTGATCGACTACTTCAGTTCTGCACGGATCACCGACTGTTCTTATCTAGCACCAACTTTCGACACAGCTCTCGTCGAACGGCTACATGGTGTTCTAGTTCAACGGGAAAATTGACCCAACTTGACCACATAGCTGTAAGCTATCGTTGGCGTGGTTCAGTACAAAATTGCAGATCCTATTGAACCACCTGCGTTGAGTCGAACCATGCACTAGTTCTGTTACGCTTTACTCGTCGACTCATTGGTTATCGGTAGAAATCGCCTCCTCTGTTAGCTCATCATCGTCCGCGCTACCCAGCTGTCTGCGCACGTTATGAGGAGAAGCTGGGACAGGAGCTAGGAAAATAGCGACATAGATTATTACACCATCAGTGGAATCAGATTAGATTTGCGATTCACTCAGCAGCAAACTTTGCTTGTGGGGCTGAGCCCGAAGCTCGCCGAAGGCATTGGATCTCTCAGGAATTAGTAATCCTAATGGATCAAAAGCGAAAGATCCCAATCTGCAAGGCTCAGCATAAGGGCCGGTTTCACCTGCAATGTCAACTCAGAAATAGCCTTAAGAAAGATCTTGAAAATTGGTGGGCCGAAAAGCTAGTAGCTTCTGCATCATGGAATAATCTAAGACTATTTCACCTGATACGCCGCACCGGAGTTCGTCGCATATCGGTCAGTAAGACTATTTGCGATAAAATTGGAGAGAGAGAGTATCCATTATAAAGAACAACGAATTGATCGCTGGCCAGAGTATTTTAGTGAACAGTTTAATTGGCCCAGTGCTAATGTGGTCATTCCAACAATTGCGGCGGGAACTCCATGGGTGGTAACATGTGAGCCCCATCACAATCGGAAGTACTAAGCTACATTCAATCATTAGAGAAAGGGAAGGCTGCGGGACCTGATGGACTTCTCCCTATTCTTTTCAAGGTGGGCGGTCATTCTCTTGTCGACTCAGTTGCTAGCTTACTTCGCAGCATTCGGACAGAGGAGCGTATCCCTTTGTCCTCGGGTGAATCGTTGATCGTCCCGATCTTCAGGAAGGGATCACACAACGACTGCGCTAACCACTGTGGGATTAGTTTAGTTCTGATAATAACAAAAGTGTCGACTTGTGATACTTCGCCGCCTGATACCCTTAAGAGAGAGGAATATCCGCGAACAACAAGCCGGATTCCGACCAGGTGGCGGTTGCATCGACCAAATCTTCACTCTGCGTCAAGTCCTCGAACTGCGTCACACACGTCGTCGACCAACAATTGCAGTGTTCCTTGACCTAAAAGGAGCCTTCGATTCAGTTGTCCGTGCAGGTCGTTGCTTCGCAAAGGAATACCACTGAAGTATGTAAACCTATTACGGTCGTCGTACGTGCATACTTCTGATGCTTGATGGTCAAGAATTAGCTGTAGTGGAATGTCCCACCTACTAAGGTAGCTGCGTTTCAAATGACGGTAGCATAGTCAATAAAGTAACCGCCCGCATTTCCAAGGCTCGAACAGCTTACGCAGGATTGAAACACCTTTGGTGCAGACGTGATGCTTCATTGAAACTGAAAGGTCGCGTATACTCTGCCAGTGTGTGGTCAGTTCTGCTCCACGATTGCGAGAACCTAAATTTGCGCGTGGAAGATATTCATCGTCTTGAACTATTCGACTGCAGGTGTTTGCGTAGTTTGACTCGGGTTGGATTGTGCGAGCTTGTANNTGTAAGCAACTCTGAGGTGAGGCGTCGAGTATTTCGCAATGATTCGATGGAGAATTCGGTGTCCCATCGAATTCAGATTAGTCGTCTTCGCTGGTCGGGACACGTATTGCGCATGTTCAGCCATCGTCTGCCACCGCGCCTTATTCGCAGTTTCGGCTCCAGGTTGGAAGAAACCGTTTGGAGGTCAACAGATGACGTGGAAGCGAGGCATGAAGAAATGCACTGAGCGGTTAGGTAGAAACGGTGTGTCCCGTTTTCCAGGTTGGAGTCCGAAAGACTCTGCAACCGGCTAGCTGGAGACACTGAAGAATATGACTAACCGACAGCGGTGGCGTTCTTGTTGTCATTTCTTATCAAGTCAGAAGTCTTGCAAAGGTATGTATGCATACTTTTGTGTTGTGTGCTCTGTGTTGCTATATATATATATGTATATATATATGTGTGTGTATGTGTGTGTGTGTGTGTGAACACTCCACAGGAAGAGCAGTTTAAAGCTATTACACACATTCGCACACGTTCACAGGTGCGGCAGAGTCAGACATGAACCATTAGGAACGTAACCCACCATTCCCCTTATCGTCTGGTAAGCATCTTTGGTGTTCACAGAATATGCCCATCGTCGTAATCAGAACGGATCGTAGGCGAACATATGTTTTCATTCTCAAGCCATGACAATCACTTTTGTGAAAGTAAATAGAATGAAATTGTTAGTTTGGGGTCAAATAATTATTACAAAGCGGTGGGGTAGGGTTTACTTGTGTTTTCAGTTATGTTCATATCAGAGCGCGTTACGTAAGCGTTGATAATTGATTTGGGTCATCACAACGCTCATGCGTGATGTTGTCCGCTTTTGGCCAGGGACGTTTGCTTGAACAAGTGTTTTTAACACAGGTCAGTTGCCCCGGCTGTTGCTAGCGTTTTAACTCAACCAACCTTAGATTGGTGTTGCTGGACGTGATGAGTGATGATGAAAGCCAAATTGGCATTCACCACATATCCAGTTTTGACCAAGTGTGCAACAGTTGAGCCGGAAATAACTTCGATTGCTCCGTGTCTAAGTCACGTGGGTTGATGTTCCTTGATGCCTTTAGATAACTGCCCTGCCCTACGATCTACGCAATTGACATCACAGGTGCGCTTGGATTGGTCGTTGAGCATTGACGGGGGCAACATAGACAAATTATCTTTGTTCTGACATCAGATGACGGGTGATGTCGAGAACACACATCTGAGTTTGGCAGCACTGAACGTTGCTTTAACTGCGGCAACTGGAACTCTAATGACCGTCTCAACTGTTGTCCTTCGAACGGAATTCGGATGACCAAAGTCTTTTTCTCCGCTCTAGCCGCAGGCACCTGTTTTTTCTCAGATCCGTTAAAATTCACGACTGGTTCCGGGCAGCCATTTTTTGACAGCGTCCTTTGCACAACTGCTAATTCTGTTTCTATTGAGTCTTCTGAGCAGATATATCTTGCTCCGAATCGAAGAAGCGAACGGTACAAGACTATGGGAGTTTGTGTACTGTCCGTTCCATGTGGCTTTTCGACACACTGTCCGCTGAATGGAGTCATCCAAACGTCTCGTTAAAATTAACATCCAGAAGTGGCAATTCTTTATATTCTTCCTTCTCAACTGTAAAGCCTATCCCTGAATATGTCATATTGAAGCTCAACAAAGCATCATTGAGGTCTCATTTGCCATCGGAAATACAGAAAATGTCGTTCATATATCTATAGCAGTAATCGAAATTTCTGATGACTGTATAGAGGACCGGGCTCTGATTTAGTCATGAAAATGTCCGCAAGGACTGGCCTTAAAGGTTATTCTATGGCGACTCCATCTTTTTAGCAATGGTAGGTATTACCAAACAAGCTACCTTTCTACTTTTTCCGTCAATACCTTCGTCCTCAAATTGGGTTGGCAAAAGTCGGTAACAAAACTGCCGCGCGAGAGTGAGAGGTTATTCGTCGTATTAGTTGAAACTGCTATGTATGGGTATGATTAAAAATAACTGAGAACTCACTTGCTCGCCATATTTTGTTGTCTTTCCTTTTTACTCGGTTTCTAGATCCGAAAACGCTTCACGTTTTAGAGGCGGTTTACGTTACAAATTTACTGTTGCTTTACAAATCATATTTTGGATACGGTTGGCTTTCTCTCTTTGTTCCTCGTTAGACACTCCTCAGTCGTTGCATGTGTGTGTCCGTAGCTGTGCATACATACTGTGTGTGCATGATGTTGAATTCGACACATGCTGATTATCTTTTTTCACTTGACATCACGTACCGACCCGGAACTCCGGTTGGAGTCCAGTCACGAAAACAGCAGCGGGTAATTTTTCACGGCCTGGAGCGGATCCGGTTCACACAATTTAGTTGTGTACTGTTCACCCGAGACGTATGTAAGGACGTTCAAATACAAGCTAATGATGGCCTGAATTTGACCATATATTTCAACCGTCGAATTCACTGAAGTTAAAATATGATATACGAACCCCGAAAGTGGTACGGGATACAGACAATCCATTCCGCTTCCACTCCGGTCTATTTTGTATTGTATTGCGTTTTGTTGTGTAACTTGCGAGCACTGAAGCTAACATGTAAGCTACACTTTTGAACAGTCAAGCAGGAAAGCTCCTTTCAATTCTTCCGCTGTCTGAATGAAAATCCCGTTTCTGTTTATTGATACCCTAGTCGTCCTTCTTGGGATTTTATACGGACTGTGGGCAGGTCAACTTAGTACCCTAATATTTTGGTATGAAATCCATGATCTTATCAACTATCTGACGTATGCACAGATATGTTTCGTCGTTGAAAACACAGGATTCCGCATGCTTTTTTTGGTACATGAAGCTGTTTTAAGATGCCTTGGTTTGAGCTTCGGCCAGACTAACCATTTCCGTCTTTCATCGCGATAAATACGCAGTGCACACCATAATAAAAACGATGTCGATGCCGGAATTTGAGTTATTTCGGGTCTATGTGCAAATCCCATCCAATTTGGGAAAAGCCGTAGGAGCTGCTTGAATGAGACTTGAACGCGTCGCTGAAGACTACCGTGATGTACGCTCATGCATCTCCTGTTTCTACTTTTCTGTTTGAATTCGACTTGTCGGATAATCATTTCATTTCTTTCATGTCTTTCTGAACGTCATCGACGTGATTGTTTCTTACTGTCATCAGCAACCTTTTGTTCGTTTAAGTTCACCCTTTGGTGTCACTTTGACCTATCATCTAGTCCACATGATCAGTTCTGTGATGCAAGTGGCACTTTCGATGCCACTTCATCAGACGTCATTGAATTGCGTCTCAGTACTGAATTTCGACCACCCCTCTTTTCCACGCCTCTCTCCCCCCCGTACTCCCTCCGATATTCAGATTCCATTTCAGAAGACCAGTTGCTCCAGTCAGTTCGTTCAGCCGTGTTGGACAAATTGCGTCGAACCCAGCGCGAATTGTTGATGCAACACCGTGATGAAATTCAATCCCTTCAGGAGACTCACGCCGACTTGGTACGGGGTGGTGCCTCGCTAGAAGAAATGCTCAGTCGTATGGACCGGGAAAAGGTATGTCCAGGCAGTATTTATTGTCCTGCACGTTTGTTTTTTTCTTATTGATAGCTGTATACACTTGAATCCGTACTATGAGACGACGCATCGTGCGCACCCTCATGCATTCCGGATATCCTTGTGTGTGCAACAGATAGTGAATTGCTGGGCTAACCAAAAGGTTACCGTAACCCGTCTGTTGTGTAGTTACTGTGTTTGCTCGCCATCTGGATACCGAGATGGGGATGGTAAAACCGGTTTCATGTCAGAATGATGTGTGAGCCCACATAACGTGTGTGTGTATGTGACTAAAGTAAAGAGCATGCCATGTATGTAGCCTAAGAGGATAGAGTTTGTAAACTTCGATTGGATTACTTATCTTAGCGGTTTCTAGAATTTGAGTGTGAGTAATTTTGACTAGTTTATCTGGGCGCTTCTTTCATGCGATATTCTGTTGAATTGTGCCAACATTTTTGCTGCTTACTTTGCGCTTTCATTTGTTCTTTTTCCATTGACCGTGTGCAGTAAGAACGAAAAATGGAAGTAGACATGTAATAATCACAGGTAAATGAAACGTGTTTTTTCCGCCCTCCATTTCCGATAAAATACACCTGGGGGCAATTGGTGGAGTTGGAGGTCGACTTTTCAGGAGAGAGAGAGTGTGTGTGAGTGAGTGAATGAGATCGTTTCAGCTGATCTGCGATTGAATTTGTGCAGCTGACATATTTTTTTTCATCTGCTCCCCTTGCCTCAATCAAGTGTTCCAGATAAGCGCCACGAATCGTGCTCAGTTTCCATAACTCATTTGGCTTGCACCTTTTTTCGCACCGGTTTTGGTTGCCGTCTTTTGCTTATACATTAGATCGATTATTGAATGAGTGGAAGAGATTACAGAGTACAGCACGGTAAAAACAAGAAAGATAGATGGATACATAGAAAGTGAGTAAGCCGGATCGGTACAGAAAGTGCACGAGTGCCATTATTTACGACACTCAGCCAGTTTTTATAATTGAATCACAGTATTTTCTTAATTCACCGTAGTGAATGAATCCTCAGCACCAGACTACATTTTCATCGACATAGTGGTCGATCT